CAACTCTACAATTCTCTGATTCTCTATCAAGCTTAGAGTTTGTGGGGATATGGATTATGTTTATTTAATAATGAGCTGGTTGTATGTAAAATTGAGGATTAAATTTGGCGAAATGTGAAGGGTGGGAGACGCTGGGAGATTGGTAGTGTTTTAGATGGCTGGAATGCATATTATATATTTATACAATATATATATATATTCTAGGGGTTTCATTTTCACCCTCTGCACGCAGCCCCACTGAGGATGAATTGTTTATTACTGGGGCCAGATGCCAGGCAGCCCTGTTCAAGGCCAGGGAGGAATTTGTGTGTGTTGTCTGGGAGGAGGCAAGGTCTGTTTTTCTCAGGCAAAATGTTGCTCAAGAGGTATCAGAAGGAAATGTTTCAAAATGGATGAATGACCATTACTGATAGGTAAAAGAGGATTTACTCTGCTCGATTATTTTGAGGACAGGTTATAACAATGTATAGAAGCCATAGCAGAAATTGGCAAATGAACAGGGTGATGTTTAGGGAGAAGGGATGAATGTATTTTGAAATGATAGTTGGAAAAGTTATTTTATTGCCTGCCCTTGCCCCAGTAGGCTATGCTCTTTTTAGTTGGCTACATGTTGTACAAGCCTGCAAAAGACTTATGTCTGGGCCATGAAACACCTTGAGCGACACCTACGACACTTGATCTTAGCCAAAAGGCCGAGAACTGTGCACACGGCCCTTTCTTCTTGAAATTAGGATGGGATGAACTGCGATTATAATAAAAAATACATTGTTGTTGTTGTTGTTCCACATGTGTCTGCGTGTGAGATAATGAGAGAAACTTCAGTTGCAACCACATAATGGAATATCGTTTTCCTCCGGCGATAAATCTAGCCCAGTCTGCATCTTATTGCTCTGGCTCCTTGGGGCTTGTTTTGTTTGGTGTTTTTTAATGGTAGCTGGTAGACAGAATCAATCACACAAGCGGTAATCCCCTGCAAATGGAACTTAATAGATTTTTTAAAAGGCAGCCTATTGACCCAGAGACCTTAATGGCTCACGAGCTGCTTGAGTCTGGCATGCAAATTCGCCAGCAGACAGTTTATAAATGCACACAAATCGAAAAGGGTAGTAAAAATCCTTTTAAGTGGCAGGCCCTCCAAAAGCACAACAGAGAATTTCCAGCATTAGAGCTCTTGGTATTTACATTATAACCTCCCATGGTTGCCTCAGTGAGATGCTGAATGGATAGCCGGCAGGGAGCCAGCCTCTTCCTGCCACAGCTGCAGAGGATGACATCACCAGAAAGACAAGCAGGTGTCCAGCAAAGTTTTAGGACTTCGGATTAAGTGACCTTTTATTTTAGGTGGAGCTATCACCGAGCAATTTTGCCATATGTGAAATTCTGGTGAGAAACTAGGAGGTCCCTACTTGAGAAAAGAATCAAAGGAATTTTTTTAAGCCTTGCAAAGTGAACATCTCAATATTGCCACCAGATTTTGCATTAAGTAACATTTCAAAGCAAAATGAAAGACTCCTGCTTTAGCAAAACAACCATGGAATTTTGAGGGAACCCAAAAAGATATTTGCAGTTCCGTTCTGTGCATTGTTTCTTTTTCGACTGATCAATGTGAATCATTCTGTCAGGCAGTGTGAAATGTGGGATAGAGTCTTGCACCTCTGAGCCTTAGGTGTGAGTCCTGGCTCTGCCTTGGGATCACTGTCTGGGCCTCAGGCAGATTCAATTCCCACTCTTTGCACAGTGACCCCAAGAATAGTGCATGGATTAAATGAATGCAGCTTATAATGCACTCTGCAAATGAAAAGTGCTATATTAGGTTCATGATTATGACAACGCCCACCTGCATAGTTCAGTTTCCTGGGTCATAGATGTTGTTTTTTAATTTAGGATGGCCATAAATGTAAAGGTAAAGGGACCCCTGACCAATGCCTGAGCTAAAACATCCACCGACACCTGTAATCAATTAAGTTGTGGTCATTTTCAGTCCAGATGGTTGTCTGCCCGAGTCGGTTTTGCAACAGGTTATCTGGTTATTGGTGGCAGAAGCATGGCACTGTGACTGGGCACACAACCAAGAGCATCTGGGGAACCACAACCTCCCCACCTTCTGGACATGGCTGACTTAAGTCCATTGAATTCAATGGTCTGCTTTGAGCATGACTTAGGGCTCAAGCACACTTGACCTTTTACCCCGTGCTTTCTTGGCAGAGCTCTGCAGTGTCTGAGGGCTCTCTCTCTCTCTCTCTCTCTCTCTCTGCCCCGGTGCTTTCCCCATCCAAGGTAAGGTAAAGGTAAAGGGACCCCTGACCATTAGGTCCAGTCGTGACCGACTGTGGGGCTGCAGCGCTCATCTCGCTTTATTGGCCAAGGGAGCTGGCGTACAGCTTCCGGGTCATGTGGCCAGCATGACTAAGCCGCTTCTGGTGAACCAGAGCAGCACACGGAAACGCCATTTACCTTCCCGCTGGAGAGGTACCTATTTATCTACTTGCACTTTGATGTGCTTTCAAACTGCTAGGTTGGCAGGAGCAGGGACCGAGCAACGGGAGCTCACCCCATTGCAGGTATTTGAACCGCCAACCATCTGATCGGCAAGCCCTAGGCTCTGTGGTTTAACCCACAGCACCACCCGCGTCCCACTCTACTCTTATTCACAAGCTGAAACACAGTACAGTGCACCTGTTTACAGAACTTATCCGCACCTCCCATAAGATGTGGACGGAGGATTGCCTTGACATGTGCAGCATTTTGTTCACATTCTATTCAAAGCAAAGAAGGGTCTCACTCAGTTGCACCTTTTCTAGTGCACAATGAGAATGCCATCTCAGCTTATCAAAGGATACACGTGTGGGAGGCTGAATGTGACTTTGGTTTTCCATAACTGGATCGAGATGCATGGAATAGTTACTAGAGATCTGTAAGTTAGGAGCACTGATGCTGATTGAAGCTCCTTCCAGCAGTACAAACTCCAGTAGCTATTGCTCAGTGAATGTAAATGCTTAATTGCCCAGATGTGTAATATTTACAGGTAGGTTGATTATTATATTATATTATATTATATTATATTATAATTATATTCTGGGACTATTTTATGCTCTTACTTATTTCTTCACACAGAGGAGGGTGGACTTATACTAGAGTGGAGTCTAGGAAGTCATCATCATCACAAACGTACGACCAAGAACCTAAAATCATCACATGCTTTAATATGGTGCTTAACATAAAGAGTCCAACATCAGATATAATAATAATAATAATAAATTTTATTTATATCCCGCCCTCCCCAGCCAAAGCCAGGCTCAGGGCGGCTAACAACAAACAAATAATCAAACAATCAAATGATCCAACATTCTAAAACATTTCATTATAAAAATTAATTAAAATCAAATTAATGGCAACCGTTAAGCAAAGTTCTGTGCAGGTTGCCGGAGGTGGGAGTCAGGCTGGGCCCTGACCAAAGGCCTGGTGGAACAACTCTGTCTTGCAGGCCTTGCGGAAAGATGTCAGGTCCCGCAGGGCCCTAGTCTCTTGTGACAGAGCATTCCACCAGATTGGAGCCGCAGCCGAGAAAGATATGGCTGCATAAATGCCTCTTTGTTTGCTAAAGAATTATTTGCAAAACTGTTATCTTCTGCAACAAGACTCTTCCCTCGTTTTATTTCTTATGAAATGAATTCTCATCCAAATATATATTTAGATCCAAGGCACTGAGCATTCCAGGTAGCAGAAGACTGTATACAGGCCAGAAGTCTCTTTTTCTCTGGGATATGAAAGGGCACTCATTATTATTATTTTCTTTGGGGGGGGATTTGTAATGTAAGAACCACATTCTAAACTCTGTACCAGAGAAATTTTTAAAAAATTAAACCCCCAGCCTGCTTCTCTCCCCACAATGTTACCCTTGGCAGCCGAGGGTCTCTGGCTCTTGGAGTCGTCTCCCCCATGGCCTCTTCCAGGCTTGTTTGGACTGCAGGGCTATGGAGCCTTCGGGTTCCATGGCCTCTCGCTCTGAACAGGAACAATTCCTATTTCCTAAAATAATGGCCCTGACCAAGCCAAAGAAAACTAAAAACAATATATTCATTTAACAACACTAACAATTTCACCAGAACTTGCCAACTCAAATGCTAGCTAAATCATTCCAGAAAGGCTTTCTACTGGACCTGAAGAAATCCCAAAAAACTCCTCTAGCTGACACTCATCTTTACTTTTGGACACGAGCAGGCCCCTTGGTGGCGGTCGGGGTGTGTGTGTGTGTGTGTGCGTGTGTGTGTGTGTCAATATTAGCAGCTCTATGCGGAAGACTTCCATGTCAATTGGCAAGGAGACGCACATCGCCGTTTAAGGAGTCTCCACATTCACTGGCTGAGTCTACAAACAACACGAGGGATATTCAAATTACAGACATGAAATCAGCTTCAACAGTCATTCTCCCTTCCCATGAGAGCTGTAGCGCTGCGAGGAGAGCCCAGAGATCTCTAAACAAATAATTATGCGCACCATTGCCAAACTTAAGTTCCAATACAGAGGTGGTGAACATTTTAAGTAGTATAAAGCCGTTAAATGTCTGAACGTGAAACAGGGCAGAAGCAGGTATTGGAAACCTGTGAACCTCCAGAAGCCATTGGACTACAACACCCATCATCACCGGCCGGCCACTGGCCATGCTGGCTGGAGCCAAGGGAAGTGGGAGTAAGAGGGAGGACCACAGGCTCTCTGCAGGTAGCCAGCCTCAGGCACATTTACTCCTTTCTCCTGCTCCCACCCACCCCACCCCCCATCAGCAAACATCTCTCTCCCTTCCACTGCACTGCTAGCACTGCATCAGCAGTAGTCAGCGCGGACCACAGTTCACATTAGCCTAAACCCAGAGAAATGAATAGTATGAGAGGGGAATCAATGGACATGATCCTGTGGACTTCATTGCAATGGGCTTTAGTGCCTAGGAGTCTCCAGGCAGGAGGGCAGGGCCCTCCCTCCCTCCTCCCTTGTCTGCCCACAACTTACCGGTGTGGAGATTCAGGGTCAAAGCACGTCTTCTTCACGTTGGTCACTCTGGGGTTGCAACAGTCCCCGTCGTCAAAATTGTCAAGCATGTTGTTGCATTCCATGTTGCAAACCCCATCCCGGCGCACCCAGTCGTAGCAACGCCCCAGCCGGCGGCAGTCCCCCCCGTCGTAGCCAGTCAGCGGGTGCTCGCACTCGGGGTCACAGTATTCATTGCCAATCTTGCTGGGCTCACAGTTCATCAGGACCACGCGGTGGCGGAGCAAGGAGCTCTGTACCTTGTGTACACTCAGTTGCCAGGTGATGTTATAGCGGCCAAAGGCCCCGCTCAATACCCGGTGCTGGTGGGCAATCTGCTCCTGGCTGACAGTAGGATGGAGCCCCTCATCGTCATGAATGTTGACGACCCGGTAACGGACCACCTTCTCATTCCTCAGCGGCCAGTGGCTGTTGTAGTAGGAGATCAACTCCACGTTGTCGCAGACGGTCTGCCCACAGAGAGGGGGCACGAGCGGTGAGAAAACCGGAGGCTCTGGCACTTGGAAGGACTCCACCAGCGGGTAGGCACCATCTTTGAATGTTACCCATTGCTGCTCCAGGCGGCTGAACCTTGCACTGAGCACCATGGTAGCTTCTCTGTCTTCAACCTTTCTCAAGAAAGCTCTCTGGAGTTTCTCCTGGGGTAAAGCAGCATTCCAAATGGCCAGCAGAGCCAGGTGGCCACGGAAGTGGTGCCCGTCCTCTGAGCTGTCACCTCCCAGAATCAAGGTGCGGCAAGAAGCCATGAAGGGACTGTGGAGGGCCCCAGACTGCTGCGAACTACGAGCCACCCGTTCCCCGTTCAGGTACAGCAGCATCTGCTTCCCGTTGTAGGTGGCGGCCACATGAGCCCACGTATTGAGTTCATAGCGGTGTGGTACCGATATGGTGGAAGATCTCTTGAAGCGGTCTGTCCGGAGTGAGAAGAAGAAACGGGCATCCTTCTTCCCGGTGTTCTCCTGCGTGCGGATGCCAAGAGTCCAGCCCCTGTCACTGGCAACGTGGGAGCAATTGTCAAACACACCTGAGTGGAGGAGAGGGAGAGAAAAAAAAGAAGAAAATTCAGCACAGATGCTAGTACAATGACCACACTACCTCTCAGCTCTAGAACAGGAGGAGTGATTTTAGGATGAATCCACACTAGATCTTCAAACTGGCTTGGATCCAAGGGCACTATAGTGGCTTCCCTCAAAGAACCCTGGAAACTGCAAGAGATGTGAAGAAGTCTTTGTTTAAGAGGGACGACAATTTCCAAGATTTCTTGCTAGCAAATCTACACCAAAACAGGTTGGTAACGCATTTAAAATTTGGTCCACTAGACACCAATTCCAATTCGGTTCTAATTTGTAGCCACAACGATAGTTGTGCAGAGTGTTCTGTGCTGTGGCTGGATGGTTACGTGGGAGCCGGCTGAAGTTAAATCCTTCAAAGACAGAGGTCCTTTGGCTGGGACCGGACGATATGGGATTGGGGGGGCAACTCCCATCTCTTGCGGGGGCACAATTAGTGCCAGCACCATCCATTAAGAGTTTGGGTGTAATCTTCGACACCTCCCTTTCCATGGAGGCGCAGATTGCAGCTACAACAAAGGCGGCATTTTTTCATCTCCGCCAAGCTAAGCAGTTGGCTCCTTACCTCTCTCGCCCTGACCTAGCCACTGTGATCCACGCGACAGTCACCTCCAGATTGGATTATTGTAACTCGCTCTACGTGGGGCTGCCCTTGAGACTGACCCAGAAACTCCAGCAGGTGCAGAATGCCGTGGTGAGACTCCTTACGGGGTCCTCGCTGCGAGATCACATTCACCCAGTGCTATACCAGCTGCACTGGCTCCCAGTGGAGTACAGGATCAGGTTTAAGGTGATGGTTTTAACATTTAAAGCCCTATACGGCCTAGGACCCTCGTACCTACGGGACCACCTCTCCTGGTATGTCCCACAGAGGAACTTACGGTCTTCAAATAAAAACATCCTGAAGGTCCCAGGCCACAGAGAGGTTAGGCTGGCCTCAACTAGAGCCAGGGCTTTTTCGGCTGTGGCTCCGATCTGGTGGAACGCTCTGTCACAAGAGACTAGGGCCCTGCAGGACTTGACATCTTTCTGCAGGGGCTGCAAGACAGAGCTGTTCCACCAGGCCTTTGGTCAGGGCACAGCCTGACTCCCTCCTTTGGCAATCTTCACAGAACTTTAGACTAATGGTTGCCATCAATTTGATTTGAATTAATTTTATAATGAAATGATTTTAGAATGTTGTACTATTTTATTGTTGTTAGCCGCCCTGAGCCTGGCTTCGGCTGGGGAGGGCGGGATATAAATAAAATTTATTATTATTATCCAACCCTAATCATTAACCTGGTCTGTCTGGAATCTGCTACATCAGTCATGGCACCGTGAAGGCAGCGAGAAAGGGCACATTCCCTGCACCACATCCATCTAAAGATCTTATTGGAGAAAGAAGTGCTTTGTTCCAAATCTGAGGCAAGAAAAGGAGGAAGACAAGCAGCGTGAAGGCGCCCCCACCACATATCCTCTCCAGCACTGAGCTTTTTTGGGGGGGGTGTCTCCCAAGTTTGCACAAATGCCAGTGGTGACAACTGGCCAGTCCCTTCAACTGCCACTGAGAAACGCACACCCCAAATCCCTGTAGCTGTTCAGAAACTTTTTTATCAGATTGCTTTTTTTAATTCCTAAAAAGGAAAGCGAACACACTGGCCGGAGCATGGCAAAAATTATGGCTGAATCAGCATTAACCTCAAAAGAATATACTTCAGGCATGCTAACTGCAAATCTGGGAGAAAATGCATACTGTGGGTGAGCGCCACTACGGTGACTTCTCTTTAAATAATACGCCAGTTTTCTTGACTGTGAAAACTTCTATAAACTGGAAAACAGCAATCGATGCCTTCCTGCCAGTGTACAGCTATGTACAATATCACATTTCACTTTGTATAAGCCTTATCCTTCCACACACAAACATTCTACTCCTCCTCTGACCATGATATTGTCACCGGGCACCGGGCATGGGGTGGGCAGTCATTCCATAAGACGACTCAGGCATCTCCAACTCAGGCATCTCCAACTCCAATGAAGAGCAAAGCTCATCATTATAAGAACTGTGCCTGAGTTTTATTCCTCTCCCTCTTCCTTCTCTGTCACATTTCTCTTGTATGTGAACTTTTTCCCCCATTTAGATTGTATTATTGTTATCATCATCATCACTATTATTTATTATCAACAAAACGTATTATTATTATTATTATTAATTCATTGTCACTATTATTTGTATTACTAGATCAGGATCTTTGCTTGCAACTCAAGGCGGTCTGTAGTCTTCAAGGTTGCAGCAGCAACCAAGTCAGGCTGCGTCCAGGGATCAGAACCTGCTTTGTTCAGCTTTGTTCCCTACCAGTGGAGCTATCCAGAGAGTCAGTGCTGACTGAGCAACTAAGCCCCTAGGAAAATCACAGCGGACAGCCCCTGAGTGGCTACTCTTGCTCTCAGTCCTGTCTGTGTTAAACAGGCTTATTTCTTGCCTCTTCAACAGAACAATTATTTTCCCAGCTGGCTTACTGGGAGAACTGAATGTAGCCTGGAGAACCACCCTAGCTTCAATTCTGCAACCAGGCCACTCATATTCTGCAGACTGGGTATTTGCATGCATTTTGCATAAATTAATTGGCTGAAATCACCCATGTTTTAGGATACTTAATTTTTTTGCAGGTGAAAAGGGGGGTGGTAAGTAATTAAAGGAGAATGACATGGAAATATTTCTATGCTCTTGTCCTCTTATCCATGAGGGTTAGAATCATGTTTATTTAAATGACATCTGATGACCTTAGGATGCCAAATGTGTTACTAAGTGTGAACAGTTGCAGGAATATCTTGTCAGGGGCTCATTGCCGGCTCCAAAATTCCCTTCTTGTTGTCAGGGACTCTGAAGCTTGAAGTGGGAACCTCATGGCCTGAAACTGGAGCCCAAACTAGCAAACTGTGCAGTGGACCTGAATGCATTCAACTGCAAGAACCCTCTTAAGGCACAGAAAGGAATAAGAATACGCAACACTGGCCCTGCCTGAAGCCTCTAGGTTGGCCATTCACAGTAGCTCTTGGCCAGGTCAACAGAAGAATGCCTTCTGCTCAGTGAAGCTGGAGAATATATCCACCACATCTAATGAAAGGACATTTTAGCTGTACATTTAAATATTTTTTATAGCTTGAGGAAATGCTTTCATTAATGTTCTTACCCATCCTGAGCCTTCAAGATGAAGAAATGTTATGTATTTTAAACACATACAAAAATACTCTGCTACCACTATTCTAGAAGCATCCCTTCCCAGAAGATTTCCCTCAAGAATCTACTTCTGTTCACAGCCCCGATCTCTCTTTTAAGGATGAGTTAGCGCAAAACAACCACAAGGATGCTTTTTTGCGCTCTCTCTCACTGCATGTTCCTCACTATCCAGAGGAGGAGCTTCCACACATTCAATTTCATCAACAAGTGTCTGCCTGGAGCTCTGCATTGTTACCAAAGAGCTTCCACATCTGGAGTCCCATCTGGCATTGGCAAACTTGCTCCCTCCCCTTGATGCTGTTCCAGCTCTTTGCCTACTGCCGTCCGAGACTTCGCCCTGCTAGAGACCCAGAAACTACTGCTCTGGAAAAGTGAAGAACATTTTCCGGGCCCCTGCGTCAGAAGCCCAGCCAGCAAGTAGGAATATGCCCAGGAATGTGTCTGATGCTGCAATCTGAGAGCTCCACTCCAGCATCGCTTCGAACAAGCAAGCAATTCCCTTTGTCAGGAAGCCAACGTGTGAAACCATCCAACATAGGAGCAAGGAGGTGGAAGCAGGAACTGAGGGGGTCCTGGTTCGGAGGCACCTGTAATAAGGGCTTAGGCTCCAGCAGAAAGGAGAGAACCCAGAGGCTCTCCAGGAGAGCTGTGCAGCAGAAGGTGGCATCTGTTGCAACAGGGCATTGCCAGGAGGTTAGGAAGTAGCAGGATCTAGAGCACAGGTGGAGAACCTGTGGCCCTCTGGGAACTTGCTGGACTCCCAGGGGATGATGGGAGTAGGGAGTCCAACAGCACACAGAAAGCCACAGGTTTTCTCCGCCCACAATTTCAAGGCTTTGCTTCAAAGCATCATCCTTGAGAAAAGCTAGTTATGGCCAAGGTTCTAGCATCACACCATAAGAACCAAGAGAAGGCCTAGTCCTAAGATACACTCAGCGTAAGATACACTGAGTGCTGCTGGTCCCAAAGGCAAGCTGCTAAGCCTCTGGGTGGGGGCTGCTCCCTGAGCCGTCACAATCACCAGTTTTGTAACACCCTGGACTGCTTGTCTGCATGCTTCTGGACACAATTCAAAGTGCTGGTTTTAACCTTCAAACCTGTAAATGGTCTGGTGCCAGGATATTTGAAGCCACGCCTCCTCCAAGGTCTTCAGAGGAGGCCTCACTGATGGTTACCCTCCTTCATGGAGGTTTTGGTGATGGTTAGCAAGACCTCAACCCTCCTCTGTGGTGGCTCCCTCTCTTTGGAACTGAACTGCTTTTGCAGAGCCAATGTGGTGTGAGAGCCAGTGTGGTATGCGGTTAAGAGCGGCAGACTCGTAATCTGGTGAACTGGGTTCGCATCTCCGCTCCTCCACATGCAGCTGCTGGGTGACCTTGGGCTAGTCACACTTCTCTGAAGTCTCTCAGCCTCACTCACCTCACAGAGTGTTTGTTGTGGGGGAGGAAGGGAAAGAAGATTGTTGGCCGCTTTGAGACTCCTTGGGTTAATGATAAAGCGGGATATCAAATCCAAACTCCTCCTCCTCCTCCTCCACTTCTTCTTCTTCTTCATCTTCTTCCAGCAAATACCTTCAAATACCTTCCCTGGAAACCCTCTGGTCTATAAATCTTTGGACTGTGAAGCTCCCTACTGTGGTGAAAGGGGATAGCTAAAAGGAAAAATTGTCTGGAACTCTGGGGAGGAGGGAGACATCTGTAACGATCAACTGTTATTGCATGTTGCTGTGTTCTGAACCTTGAAGGCTTCAGCCCACCTAAAAATGATTGGCATTTAATCCCCTCCCAGGGGAATCTCTATTGAACAGAGATTCAGCCCCAGGTTCCCTTACCCCCTTTTCACTGGTTCTGCTGCCTTTCCATTATCCCATAACACCTGTTCTCCCAGCTCTCCACCTGTTTTCAGAACATGTTGATAATTATTCTTGCAGATGAGGGTAGGAATGAGAAGACTGGGTCTTGGCATAGGATTCAGAAGTCAGTTCCTGACTCAGATCTGGATAATTTATAAACCACACACACACAGAGAGAGAGAGAGACCTTTAAAAAAAAAACCCACACGGGCCATCCATCTTTTAGATTTAGGAGAGCTAGTCTCAAACGTTTGTTGGGGGAGACCTAGGCTTTTTTGGGGGGGTTATTTGTCCTGTCTTCACGCTTTTTATGATGGAGGACTGCTGTAGCCACCCCCAACGACACGTTCTCAAGATGGAGGGGGAGGGAACAGCTGCAGTCGCCTGCGGTTCCTGCGCAATGTTTGCCATCTTGCCAAAGGTTGCAGGCAGCTTTACCTGCAGCAATTGCATGTTGATTGCCCTCTTAGAAGACAAAGTCCAGCAACTGGAGGAACGTGTAGCTACGCTCCAAAGAATTAGAGAGCTGGAGCCCTTCTTGGAAGCAACAGAGCACACCGCCTCCACCAAGGAGGAGACAGGGGACTCCCTGAGAAGGAGGCTAGTTCACCAACACAGGAGCCAGATATATGGAGAAACGTGACTCAAAGAAGTAGGAGGCCCAGGGTTCGCTCTGATTGTTTAGAAATACACAATCGCTTTGAGGTTCTCTCCCTAGCATGGAAGACGAAGAGCAGACTCCGTTTGAGGATCTCTCCTCATTACAGTCGATCAGGTATATGAAGACGAGCAGCAAAGTCAGTCCTCAGGGAATGTGCAGGCGACCTTGGAACGGACAGCTCACGGAAGAACCCCGACCAAACCTAAGAGGAGGTGTGTAGTGGTGATAGGGGATTCTCTACTGAGGGGAACAGAAGCAGTGATCTGTGGGCCTGACAAGATGTCTCGGGAAGTGTGCTGTCTCCCCGGGGCTAAGATCCAAGATGTAACTGAACGACTGCAAGGAATCATAAAACCCACTGACAAACACCCCTTCCTCTTGGTTCATGTGGGAACCAATGACACTGCAAGCAATAGCCTCCAGAAGATCAAAAGAGACTACGAGGCTCTGGGCAGGAAATTGAAGCAATTAAATGCACAAACTGTCATCTCATCTGTCCTCCCAGTTGAACGACGTGGCCCAGGGAGAGAGGGGAAATAGTGGAAGTGAACAGCTGGCTTCGCAAATGGTGTAAACAAGAACGGTTTGGATTCTTAGATCACGGACTGCAGTTTCTTGAAGATGGACTTCTGGCAAGCGATGGGCTGCACCTCACAACGGTTGGGAGGAATGTTTTTGCCAAAAATCTCAGAAACCTCATCAGGAAGGCTTTAAACTGACTAATGTGGGGAGGGAGACAGTGCTCCTGAAGGTAGGAGTCTATCAATTGATGAAGATGATCATCCAAATGTCATAGACCAAATGGAGCAAACAGCACGCAGACCTAGTGGTGGGAGGAAAAAATCCTTAAATAAGAAACATGGGGGAATGATTAATGGACTTCAATGTCTGTACACTAATGCGCAAAGCATGGGAAATAAGCAAGATGAGCTTGAGCTCTTGGTACAGCAAACTAAATATGACATAATAGGCATCACTGAAACCTGGTGGGATAAGTCCCACGATTGGAATGTAATAATGGAGGGATACAATCTATTTCAGAGAAACAGACCAGACAAGAAAGGAGGAGGAGTGGCGTTATATGTCAGGGATGTGTATACCTGTGAAGAGAGATCCAAGATTTAGAACCTCAAAGCCAAAGTGAGAGCATTTGGGTCAAAATTAAGGGAGAGAAGAATAACAGTGACCTCATTGTGGCAGTTTACTATAGATCCCCAAGCCAAACGGAGGACATAGATGATGCCTTCCTGGAACAGATGGCCAAGCATGCAAAAGGAAGGGAGATAGTAGTAATGGGGGACTTCAATTACCCGGATATTTGTTGGATGTCAAACTCAGCCAAGAGCATAAGGTCAAACAGATTCCTCACTGGCCTTGCAGACAACTTCATTGTCCAGAAAGTGGGAGAAGCAACAAGAGGAACAGCCATTTTAGATCTGGTCCTAACCAATGTTGATGACCTGGTTAGTGGGGTAGAAGTGGAAGGATCATTAGGCGCGAGTGATCATGCTCTTCTGAAGTTTACTGTACAGCGGAAAGGAGCAGCCAAGCATACTAGGACTCAATTTCTTGACTTTAAGAAAGCTGACTTCATAAAACTTAGGGAAGTGCTGGGTGAGATCCCATGGACAGTAATACTAAAAGGAAAGGGAGTTCATGATGGCTGGGAGTTTGTTAAGAGGGAGATAGTAAAAGCACAACTTCAGGCAATACCAATGAGACGGAAACATGGAAGGTGCCTAAAGAAGCCAGGGTGGCTATCTAAAGAACTTTTAACTGAGTTAAGATTAAAAAGGATGTGTACAAAAAATGGAAAAGGGGGGAAACCACCAAAGAGGAATTCAAACAAATAGCCAGCACGTGTAGACACAAAGTCAGAAAAGCTAAAGCACAGAATGAACTCAGGCGTGCTAGAGAGGTTAAAAGAAACGAAAAAGGCTTTTATGGGTATGTTCGTAGCAAAAGGAAGAACAAAGAAACAGTGGGGTCACTCAGAGGAGAAGATGGTGAAATGCAAACAGGGGACACAGAAAGGGCTGAACTCCTCAATGCCTTCTTTGCCTCAGTCTTCTCCGATAAAGAAAACAATGCCCGACCTGAAGAATTTGGAGCAAATGGTTCAGCAGAGGAAACACAGCCCAGAATAACTAAGGAGATAGTACAAGAATACTTGGCTAGTTTAGATGTATTCAAGTCTCCAGGGCCAGATGAACTGCATCCAAGAGTATTAAAAGAACTGGCAGATGTGATCTCAGAACCACTGGCAGTCACCTTTGAGAATTCCTGGAGAACAGGCGAAGTCCCGGCAGACTGGAGGAGGGCAAATGTTGTCCCTATTTTCAAAAAGGGGAAAAGAGAGGACCCAAATAATTACCGCCCAGTCAGTCTGACATCAATACCAGGGAAGATTCTGGAGCAGATCATTAAGCAAACAGTCTGTGAGTACCTAGAAAGGAATGCTGTCATCACCAATAGTCAGCATGGATTTCTGAAAAATAAGTCATGTCAGACTAACCTGATCTTGTTTTTTGACAGAATTACAAGCCTGGTAGATGAAGGGAATGCAGTGGATGTAGCCTACCTTGATTTCAGCAAGGCATTTGACAAGGTGCCCCATGATATTCTTGTAAAGAAGCTGGTAAAATGCGGTCTTGACTATGCTACCACTCAGTGGATTTGTAACTGGCTGACTGACCGAACCCAAAGGGTGCTCATC